ACCAGCCAACATACTAACTTAGTGTTCCCTCTAATTTTGTAGCATTGGGAGCTTTGGTTGGTTTTATTTACATTTTTGATGGATTTGATAGGGATATGAACTGTTGTGCATTGAGAGTTACACTGACGTTACTGTGCATACACAGTTTTCTTCTCTTACAGAAACAAAATGGTTTAATTATGGAAAAGGAAGACTTAATAATTTCCTACCATCTTCCCTCAGCACCAATGAGTGTTTTGGGGGTTTTGTTTTGTTTTTATTTTTGTTTTTTGTTTTTTTAATAAGATTGTGCTAAAGTGTTTGGTTTTTTAAATGGTTGTTTGAATTGTTGACTTGAGTTTTCTTTAAAAGTTAAGTGAATTTTGGTTTGGGATTAAGGCTTTAGTATATTTGTGCAAATTTAAGATGTGTACAATTTTAAAGCTAACAATGAGTCAGAATTTATTTTATTTAAAGACTCGTTTTTACTTTGATTACAATGTGCTTAGATAGAGCGTGTGCATATGTTTGTGGTGCCTGAAGAGACCATTAGGTCCCCTGAAGCAGGAACTATCAGATATGAGTGTTGGGAACCCAACCTAGACTCTGTCAGAGCAGCTCAGACTGGTAACAGCTAAGCCATCTCTCCTGCCCCCAGAAATTATATTTAAGACTGCAGCGTCTGTTGTCTTGCACCATTTTCTAATGGCTAAGAGGAAGGCACTTGTGTCCTGTGTGTTGACCCTTCCACTCTCTCTCCCCACTGAACTGTGATGAAATCCAGACCCCGCCAGGCTCTGTGGTTTTATTTGGCCTTTACATAGCTCAAGATCATCACATTAAACCTGTTTCAAGCAGTTAACCCTCTGTCTCTCTCCTCACTCCATTTCCCTACCTCCCCCCCTTCTCTCTCCCCCCCTAGAGCTGGGCCTCCCCACCCTATCTTCTAAGTCACAACAGATCACTTTTCCTGGTTAATCTCATTTTCCAAAATTAACACGGCTTCTGCACTGCCTATTGTAGGAACATGCCAGATCCCGTGATCTGAGAAGACAGGAGGGCTCCAGGCCCAAACTGTATTTATGGAGCTCCACTCTGCCCCTATCTGCCTGGATCTGCTCCAGAGCCCTCCAAACGTTAATTCGTAAAACCATGAATGCATATACTGCTCACAAAGGGTTACAAATCACTCTGAGTCACAGCTGGCTTCTGCTGTTTTATACCAGTCGAGCCTCGGGGTCAATTTGAACTCCAGTTAAGTTGCCGGCTGCAGCAAGCCCTACTATAAAACCTGAACTTTAAAACAGCACATGGTTTGACCCTCAAGATCATCGTCTTTTCTATAAGAAATGCCATATAAAACCTACAAATCCACTGTGCAAAAGGATGCAGAGCTATCAGAAGAGAGAGGATGGGAGAGGGTGAGGCAGGTGAGCAGTCCTCCTGAGAAAGTCCCCAGCCACACCGGCAAAATGTTCTGAGCAGCAGGCGGTGACCTTCTGTGTCTTGACTGTGTGAAATAGACAGAGCAACATTTTTTTAATATGTAAAGGGGAAAGGTGCCGTACACTTTGATGGAGATCACATTCTAGTTACTCATCGGAGAGTTTCTAGGGCTTGTGTTGATGGACACAAAGGCACCACAGTCCAAGCTGGAGGGACCTTGTCTCTCCAGGGTAAATCATGAGTGGCTGCTAGTGGGACATGGATGATTTTGTGGCTCACGTAGGTGTGGTGCTAATGCCAGAAGCAGTGGGCAGGCTTGTCGGCATATAAAGGTACCCACAGGGTGTGGGCACACAGCTCTACCCCTCGGTCAAGCCTTTACCTCTCCGTGCACCTAACTCCATTGTTAGCCCCTGCTTCTTCTTTCCCTGCATGAAAAGAGATGGAGGCATGTTTTCAATGATGTATCTGTTCTGCCACCTAGCCTTCAGTGATGTCATTACACCAAAGCAGCCTTGAGAAACTCCTCTGCCCTGGCTCAGGACTGCCGAACTTCTTTACTGAGGACTTGGTGCCTGTTGACCTTAGAGTCGGATCCAGATGAGACAGTGGAGTTAGTGTGCCTTCATGCCCTGGTCTCTCTGTGTGTATGTATCTGGGAAACAGACAAGTCAATGGTCAGATCTTGGAAATGGAACCAAGGAGGCAAGCAAGCCTCTCTTCTCCCCACCCTATTAGCAGGCATCATCTGTGCCCTTGAGATCACACCAAAACCTTCCAGAAACAGCCACCTTATGGAGGCTTGGTAAGCATGGTGAACTAAATCATGCCCTCTGCCCAGGTAAAGAGCACAAACCTTTCATTCGCTTGCAGTTTCTGAAGCTGGGTTCTAATCATCACTCCATTCTTGTCAAAGCAAAGGAGAGAGTGACCTCAGAGGAGATGGAACATGGTGGGTGATATTTAACTTCCAGCATCTCTGAGAAGATGATACTCAAAGGCTTTTCAGAGCTCAGCTATACACCACAAGCATCAAAGCTCACCTGTACACAAGCAGCAAAATTCATGGCAGCAAAATTAAGCCAGTGGTAAAGGATGTCTCTGGGAGTAGATTTGAATCTGACTAGAATAAGCTAGCTAGCTCAATGATACTTGCTGATGTTAACTCCCCCCAGCTGCACCATCTTCAAAAGGTAATTGTAAAAAGCCTGGAGCTTCTGGAATAGAGGGCAGAGAGAACGGAGTCATGTGAGGCCCATATGCCCCAACACCCTCCTCACTGAATGTTACATACGGGCTGCCCAGCACCTCCTGTCCTCACCAGTCCCCTCTCTTTGGACAAAGTCCCTGCAGACAATCCCAGGGTGCTGAGGGGGCTACCTCCTCTCAAGAACCCAGCCTGTGTCCCTTAACAGCAGTGCCTGTCTCTAAATTCCTTCTGCCCTTTCAGAAGCAGTGATCAAAATTGCTGCTTAACACAGTCTTTCATTGAACTCTCCCCATGAGCCCACCCATCTCTCCCCATTACCCCACTGTCACCATCCAAGGACCACACTGTCTGTTCTTTCTTCTCTCTACCTTCCTATCTTCTCTATGAACCATCTCCTCCTCTTTTCCTGGTCTTCACATGACATATTTTCCAGCCACAAGAAGCCAGCTAGGAAAAAGAGAAGTTGTCACTGCAGGCCATTGAGAGTGCAGGATGATAGGAACTGGGTAATTTATGGTCCCTCGTGAGAAACACCTAGTTTTCCAACTTATCTCAAATGCCACCTCGAGCTGAGCTGAACCCAGCCCCACACCATGCCATCCCTGTCCTACCACTCTTCTCACGTGAACTTGACTTAAACGAGAAAACACCAGTTGGTGTCTAATTTGCTCCCTACCTTACCAACAGTAGAGACAAGCAGCTGGAACAAGTCTTCCTACTTTCCCTCTGTCTGTCTCTCTCTGTGTCCCTCTGTCTGTCTCTCTCAAGTCAGTGCACACAGCTCTTTCTCCCTCTCCTAGCCAACACAACACCTAAAACTCCTTTGCACTAGGTGCAAAAGCACAACTTTTAACTTTGGGCTTGTTTTAAAATGTGCCTTTCAGCAAACAGGGGTTTGAGAATATGGGATTTGGATCTGCAGATGTGCACCGGGTGAGATGCTCCCAAATGGAGCTAGCAAGGGAAATACTTTCTCAAAAATAGTCCTTCAGAAAGAATTCTTATCATAGATAAGGGTGCAGTCTAGTGGCAAAATTCATGAAATGCAGCCCCTTTTCTAAAAGAAGAATAGAGCGCTCAGCAAAGGAGGAAGAGACTGGGACTTGGAGAAAAGGCAAGAGCCCCACCCCAAGAACTCCCCAGAGACCGTCACTTGATCATTTCTTTTCCATCTGTGGTGGGCAGTCTACAGCCCACCTATCATGTCAAACTTAATTTTTAAAAAGCTATGACCATCATATTCCTTCTTTCAAGGATTAGGTTTTCTTTTGTTTTCCTAGGGAAAGAATTGTCCCTAGTGCCAACCAGCAGTCTGGGGTTTCAAGTGCCATGGTGAGGTCCTGGGTGGGGATGGCTCCTGTCCAGGCCCCTGGGCTGTTCCCGTGCACCCTTTAGCCTTAAGACAAGGTTTCCTTCAGTGTGGCACCTGACCACTCCAGGAACAGCCCACCCCACAGAAATACCCCCTTGGTAGTCCCAAGAAGGCCATCACTAGTCCTCCTTCCTTCCATTTAAAGGGACATTTAAGGTGTCCATAGGAAGGACACCTTAGACACCAGGTAATACTAACAACCCACAGCATCTCTTCCAGTCTCAGTCATTACTCCCAACAAAGCTGGGTGGGTGGGCATCTCTTCTGGAAAGTGCACATAACACATAACACACACACACACACACACACACACACACACACAGGAGCTTCCCTGGTCAGCTATGTAAGTGAAGGAAAATGACCACTGAATGCTACTAAAACCAGTATCCCACCAGAAACGCCTACAAGCTCTTGCCTTTATCCCTTTTCCCAGACTTTTGATGAGGGAGGGATCTCCCCCCCCCCCCGGCCCCCCAGCCTTAAATTCATCCCAACAACCATCACGGGCTAGTGTGTACTACTTGTCCCCCAAACACAACATATAACCCTTCAGTGGTCACTTAGATGCTTTATTTTTTTTTTCTAAAGGCTGGAAAGGACTTCTTAGGGAGCGTACACATGGCTCATAAAAAATGTGAGTCCTAACAGCCAGGGTCCAGGCTAGTTGTGGGGGAACCGAGTCACTACATGGTGTTCAGCCAGCTCGTGGAGATTGCTATCGCCTATTCCTCCCTCCACCTTCTCCCTGCTCCCTGTAGCTTCAGTCTGTCCCCCAAGCCCTTTTCGTACATTCCATGGGGCGGAGGGCACTGTTCAGGGAGCGAGCGAAGGGGAGCCCCCGTGTGTCTAGAAGGCTTCTCCCCACCCCCACCCCGTGTGAGTTTTTGCTGCAAAGCTCCTTGGCATCCTTGCATGGGTTGGGTGTTGGGGAGCTCAGATTGCAGCTACAACTGGCTGGCAGCCAGGGGCCGTCTATTTAAAAGCGCCTGCTCGACCAGAGCCCGCAGTCTCTTTGGAAACTTCTGCCGGGGGGTTAAAAGAGCTAGCAAAGAGCTGCAAAGCTGTTTGAGCTTTTTCTCTTTTTTTGTTCCTTTTCGTTATCCCCTCCTCGGTCTGCACCCTTCTCCGGACTTCACGCAGAACCTGCGTGTTTCGAAGAGGTGGTGGCAGAGTAGGAGACAAGAGGTGTTAGGGTCCAGGCTTGGTGAGGTTTAGGTTTTTGCCGATTTTTTTTCTCTTGATTTCAACACCCCCCCCCCATCTTCTTGGCAGCCGCCGACGCTTCTTACCTGTTCTGAGGCAGCGGCGAAGCTCACAGCAGAGGCTTGGAAAGGAGTGGGGGTGCGTTTTAGATTTTAAGCAACAAGAAAAAAAAATAAGCCAAGTCCAGTTTTTTCTTCATCACCCCATTTCCACAGCCTCCAAGCTCATTATTTCTGTTGCTTTGGGGTGAGCAATTCTGTGGTTCCCCCCACCCCTGCAATTCTGACCCGACCCCGCCTCGGGGTTTCTTCGGCCTCCGCTCACTCTGCGTGCACCTGGCGCGCCTCTTTTTTTCACCCCCAACCTGTTGCAAGTCTTTAATCCTTGCAACTGGAACTTGCGTGCAGGCACCTGAATCCTCCTTGCCTCATATTTTGCAAGTGTTTGTTTGGGTGAGGGCACCTGCTCTACCTGCAAGAGATTAAAAAAAAAAATCTCCAGGCGCCCTCTTGGCCCCTTTCTCTACGCACTCTCGCTCTCCTGCCCCGCCCCGAGGTAAGCGAGACTCGGAGAAAATGGTGCTCAGCGCGGTCCTCCTGCTGCTGGCCGCCTATGCCGGGCTGGCTCAAGGCCTGGGCTCTTTCGTGCATTGTGAGCCCTGCGATGAGAAAGCGCTGTCTATGTGTCCCCCCAGCCCTCTGGGCTGCGAGCTGGTCAAGGAACCTGGCTGCGGCTGCTGCATGACTTGCGCCCTGGCTGAGGGGCAGTCGTGTGGCGTCTACACTGAGCGCTGCGCCCAAGGTTTGCGCTGCCTCCCCCGGCAGGATGAGGAGAAGCCGCTGCATGCCCTGCTGCACGGCCGCGGGGTTTGCCTCAACGAAAAGAGCTATGGCGAGCAAACCAAGATAGGTGAGCGCTCCCGGGGTGTCAGTTGCACCGCACACGGGCAGGGAGTGGGAGGGGGAATTGGACGGCTGGGGACCCGGGACAGGTTGGGACCCGGGACCGGTTGGGACCGGCGCACTTTGCGCAGTAAGTGGCTTAGACCCGGGTAGCTCCTGGGAGTAGATGGGGTAGGTCCTTGCACCTCGGACTTGGAGCCCTAGCAGATCCTGCTATCCTAGGCGTCTGTCTAACCCAGCCTCTTGCAGTTTGCGCTCCATCTCCTCTAAACCTCCACCCCAGCCTGACCCTCCCCCACTCCCTAACTCGTGGCAATCCTGACTCCGAGCTCCTATTAAGTATCAAAGTCCAAATCCCGTGTACCCACTCTGAAAAGGAACAGGTTAAATTATCAACTCCCTTCTCCGCCCCACCCCCACACTTTGTTCTCTAAACTTTAAAAAATCTTTTTGTTAAAAGGTCATTTTCATGGGGGCCTGGAGATGCACTACCCATCTTTGGAGTTAATTCTACTTTGATCTCTCCAAGCTTCAGTGCTCATCCGGTTGCCTCCAGACTTTCCTGTCCCCCCATTCTTACTTAGTCAGGGGTGCACTCGCAGGTACACACACACTCACACACACACATGCACGCACACACACCCTGCATCTTAATAACTAATGCCTTTGGCATAGAGGTGTTGAGACCTCACCCATATTTACACTTGCTGCTTTTGAATTGGTATGATTGGTTATGATCGACGACAAAACACATTGGACTGTAAAAAGTGTCTTTTTTTTTCCTCCCAGGAAGAGAAAGAATACTTCAGGAATGCTGGGGTAGGGCATGGGGTAGAGGGTGAAAAGGGTTTGGTGTTCTGTGTTGAATATTCTTCCCTGAATCTAATGACTTTTCCCTCCTGAACTCAGTTTTTACCTAAGATTTAAAAAGGACATAGGTTTGAGAGGTAATGAGAGATGCGGGATGAAGACATCCTCAAGTTCCCAGTGGATGCTCTCCCTCTCCATCCTCCCCTCCCTTTCTCCCCACTCCACTCCACCCTAGCACCCCAACCCCCATCCCCACCAACCACTTAAACCAGACTAAAAGTGAGTGTGGCTAAATGCATGAGGGGCCCTGGAAACGCAGAATGCAAAATTCAAGGGGCGGAGACAGGAAGACAGTGCACTGCGAGCCACCCCTCCCTTTTGCCCCGCCCCTTCTTGCCCCGCCTCCAAGTTCTGTGTGCCCGGAGTCTATGGTTTAAGTGATTGACAAAGCTTCTTGTTCAATCAGAACAGTTCTGCCTCAAGCTAGGTTTCTCTGGGGAGTTGCCCGATTTTGTATATATATAGTCAACGATGCACAAAATCTGAGCTAGGAGAAATTAACAGCTATTGACTCTCTCCTAGAGGAGTTAAGACTTAGTTAAATGTTTATTTGGTGCCGTTCCTTGCAAAGACAAAGGCATTCTCACCACCTGTCATCCTCTATTACTCACAAGCACTCCAATGTGAGTTTTTTTTTTTAAATGCAAACGAAGGACCTAAGGACTGAGCTCAGCATATCTCCCCGGGAAATTCAGGTTTTGACTGTCACAAGAAGGTGCATCATGAGAGGGAGGGGGACGAGGAAACCTCGGAAGCCCCGGAGACCGATTTTCCGGGTTATTTTTATTGCATTCCTGCCCGCCGAAACGGTGGGAATACATTACCTGGCTTGGAGACAAGAGCTGTGGCTAGCAATCCCATCACAGCCTAAGTGCGCAAGTTATGACTCCGCAGTATCCCGGCCGCACTTTTATTTGCCCAGCCTTGGGATTGATACGGAGTAGCTGGGCTAGATGTGTGCGCACGCGCGCGCAAATGCAGGGCCAACAGAGCGGCAGCATCCAACTTCCCAAGTCAACATTGCTTGCGCCCGCGTATACACACACACACACACACGCACGCGCGCGCACGCACACACACGGGGGGGGGCGATTCTTGTTCCTCGCCAAGTCGCTTTAGAATTCTCTGCAGCTGCTTCAGTCTCCACCTTCAACAGCCAGCCCTAAGCAGCCAACCCCCTCTCTCCTCGCCCTCACCCCCGTCACAACGCTTCTCCCCGACCCCAGCCCGCTTCTGGCAGGGGCCTAACCAGCTGCGGTTGCGCCCTGGCTGCTGCCCACAGTGGCGAAGGCTGTTGCTTTCCTCCCGGATGGGAGCCGGCTCTCGGAGAAGATCCTTCAACCTGAGAGCCATTGGCTGGATTCCTAAAAAGCTAAAGATGACGTCATTCTTAAGGAGAGGAAAATGCATAGTGAGAGAGAAGGATGTCCTCTGGGTCCTTTAGAAGAAATTACTGCTCCCTAGATCCCTTCCCCCACCATCGACATCTGAGTAGTATGAGCGGATGCAAGCTGTAATATACATATAGTGTATTTATATTTGGTATGCAATCAAAAGTACATATTATATATTCCTATATTATTCGCATTATGTAACAGCCCCAGCACAGCATATTTCTAGAATGAGAAGTGAGGAGCGGAGAAGAGTGAGGTGGCAGGCAGCCAAAGCTTCGGGAGAGGCAGGCGTTTGTAGGAGGCTAAGACGAGCGGTTTGCTCGGTGCGTTGCTTGGCAACTGGAGAGGGCGTGGCCTGGAGCTCGCCCGGTGCTGGTAGCGGGCACCGCCCAGCATTTTCTTTTGGCCGGTTCAGGGACCAGAGATAGATATAGAAACAGAGGGCAGTGTGTGTGAGGCTAAAGGGACGAGGGAGACAAGAGTTTCTAGGGCCAAGAGCAATAAATAAAAGTGAGCTTCAGGGGGTCAAAGAAGGCCCAGACTTTCCTGAAGGCAAGTGTGGTGGGAGCCCAGCATACTGAGGGTCTGAGTGGTGTCTCCTGGTGAAATCTGAGCTATAGAGAGTAGAGGGTTAGAAATGTCAATCCTGTCATTGAGAAATCAGGCAAAGAGAAACATAAAATGTGCTTCAGGGAAAGAAAGGGGAGGGGGGCATTACCTAAATGAAAATGAATTCAGCCTTTGCTACTTTGAGGGGTTTGGCCTCCGTAGACTGGGCTTTAACTCCAACCCTGCTCCAAATGCCACGCTGAAGTCCATCCAGAGCAAGGCTTTTTGGCCGAATCCATGTCTCATGGAAAACTGAGAGCCAGTTTCCTGTCCTACCGCACACTCTCCCTTTGCAGCAAGTCTGTGAGCTCTGGCTATGCTGTGGCCAGCCAAAACAGAGAGCTGCACCGGCGCGAGTGGTGCTTTGACTTGATGCTTCTTGCCTTTGCCCCCATCTTTCTGCTGTGTCAGCAAGGCCTGGAAGAGCCGCACAGTTGGCCCAGAGAAGCTCCTTTTCTTTCCAAGTGCCTTTTTCCCCTTCAGAACCCTCCATTCCCTGACCCTCCCCCCCTTCCCACCCCCACCCCCCCAACCCCCGTTTCCACTCCCCAAACTCAGAGGTGTCATCCCCTGAGGACAGGAGTTTTAAATCTGAGCTGCTGTGAGTTAGTCTCCAGGCTTTAGGCAAGCAGGTGGCCCCAGCAGCCCCACAGGCCAGGGCCAAGCTGACCCTCCAGCCAGAGGTCACTGAGCCAGTTAGAGCAGAGGGCATGGAAGCAAGAATCCCAGCTGACCCTGCCTCTGAATCCAGGGAGGAGGAGAAAAATGGAAGGGAGGATTTACCAAAGAAAGTTTTACTTTGTACCTGAACAGTCAATGCCTATGAAACATTAAGGTATTCAGTGTAAGGCAGAATTTAAATTTAAAGAAGGAATTAGGACCCTCCAGGGCCACCACATTCAGAAGCTGGAAGGGCGGTTCACAACCAAGTATGAACAAGGGACACTACTACCAGCGAGAGTAGGGGGAGGGGTACCAGGAGCCTCGAACAGGCAAGTGGGAGGGGTTTTATTTAGTCGCAGTTTGCTCTTTTACCAGTTAGGCAAAAGTAGCAATTCTCAAGGGCTGTCCTTAAATTCCAAACTGGGTAGGTTATTCAAGGCAGTAAGACTGGTCACATGTCTGCAGAAACAAATGAGCAAATAACCAAGGAAGCCAATACAGATGTCTGCTTCTCTCACCCAGCCATGATTTATTTCTATTACGTCACTTACTTCTTTAAGAAAAAATCAGCAACAACATAGATCCAGATGAGTAACTAGACATTTGTTTGTGAGATTTGGTCTTTCCTGCCTGGCCACATGTCCTAGCTGCTTGCTAGCATCTGTCCAGAAGTTGTCTGGACATTGGCCAAAGAACATCAAAGCTGCAAGAAACCCACAGCTACCATCATGGCCAAGGCCCTTACTTTATGGATAAGGACCCTGGGACCTAAAGAGGAAGCCACTTGTCGAAGACAAGATCTGTGGTGGTCAGGACTTGAATTCAGCTCCTTCCTAGGAGTTGTGATGTTTTGTCCTGCTATCTCTGGCTCCTGCCTATGCCTGGCCTAACCTGCAACCCAGACCTTAGGCCAACATTGGGGAATGTTACCCGCCAATGGTAGGTGTTCTGAAAGTGAAAGAGAAACCCTCCACTTAGGGGTGCCCTATTTTTGTGGGCTGGGAAAATGGTGGAATAACGCAAAAGTAGGGACTCTAATACCTCCTTGCTCTCAGCGTTTCTTCTGTCCCTTTTCCAGGCCAGTGGTTTGGTCAGAGGAAGTGAGCAAGGAGGGTTTTGAAGGAATGGTATTCAGCATAGCCTCCAGGTCTGCGGGCCAAACCTCATTTCCTGAACACAAGGAGCTCTCCTGATGTGGCAGGCTGGCCTTTGCAGCCCTGTCTGTGGCCACCCGTGCTCGTCTCTCTGGAGAACATAGTACCTCAGTGGTCTACTGCCCGTGGTAATCTGTCTCCACAGCAGAGATCTTCCCCGGGGCTGACTAGCAGGATGATGAGACCTGAGGTAGGATGAGTTGACAGAGGTGACTACAGGGTCTCTACATCAGAAAGAGAAGGAGCCATCTACCACAAAAGCTGATAAAGAAAAACTCACGAGCCAGGTTTGTCCAGGTTAATCTGAGGCTATGCCAAGACCCATCCTCACCTGCCCAGAGACTGAGGAAGCTTTTCCCTTTGGGGCAGCTGGGGAAGCAGGCAAATTTTGCCTGCCTTCCCTGTAGGACCCACCAGCTGAGCCTTTAGGCTCAACCAAATAGGTTATCTTATACTTTAGTCCTCAACCTAAGCTGCCAAATAAATGGCCTTTGCCCAGCCAAATCCTAAAGCTGTCACTGAAATTGCACCCAGAACAGGACCTCATATGATCTCTGCCAGTTTGTGAATTTATATCAGTCGCAGTTATTTGAACTCTAAATTACACCCATCAGGGCTGTAACAGCTCTCTATTCTCCACTATGGGTGTGTCTCCTTCCAAAGTCTTTAGAATAGGATATCCAACTGAAGTCTAATACAAGCCACATATATAATGTTTAATTTTCAGGTGGCCACAATTTTTATTATTTTTTCTAGCATCCAAAAATTTTAAAGGTTGAACAGAAACAGAGGAAATGAATTTTAGTAGTGTATTTTAACATAGCATACCTAAATATCATCTCAACATGTGCCCAAATAATGATAATGAAATTATCAATATTCTTTCATAAGCTATCTTTGAAATCCATGGCATCTTTTCACATTTACAATGTAACACCTCACTTTAGACATTGTTGCAATGTCATTATATATATATATATATATATGGTAAAGTTTATTGTATGTTGTCCCAAACATACTTGAAACATTTCCAGTGAGCAAACTTTCGAAATTTAAAGCTAAGCTATTTGAAATTAAATGAGTCCTTCTGACACTCCTCCCTCTTAGGGTACAGTTGTCTACATTTGTTTTCCTCTTGGAAATTCAGATCATCATTCTGATTGCTAAAATCCCTGGATTTTACTGACCACAGGGATCTTCCTGAGAGAACTTGGGGCCAGGCAGATGCTGCCTTGAGCCAGACCTCTGCCCAGAATCCCTCCTCCCTTCTTTGTATGCAAATGCACTCACACAGGGCAATTGAACTAATTAGCATCCATCTGCAGCTGGGAGTCAGACTTGGAGAGACTGAAACGTGTCTTACATTTTGGGGGACAATGCTCAGCGAGTTTCTGGCTCTCCCACAAGACTAGTGTTGCAACATAGAGCAGGAGGCTGCCTATTGGCTGAGAAACAAGACTCGGCAATGTGGGGGCGGAGCATTTAGCCTGACTATTTTTGTCCCTATGCAGGCACTGATCAGTGTCCCTGGCCAGCGCTATCTAGTAGAGCTTACAGTGATGATGAAAGTGTTCTATCTGCACGGTCCAGCACAGTAGCAGCCAACAGCATGTGGCTGTGGGGCACTGGAAATGTGGAGAGAGCAACTGAGGCCCTCTGGGGTGTTGGCGCTATGGTTGGTTAGTTGGTTGGTTGGTTGGTTGGTTTGGGGGTTTTTTGTTTGCTTGTTTTGCTTGTATTTGTTCATTTAAATAGCCACTCTGGCTCCTGGATAGCACAGTTTCTGCCAAACGGAAGCCCCACTCACCAGAGGCACCTGTTTCCAGCACTGCGCGGCTCTTCACTCCCCCTCTCCCACCCTCCACACCCCCCCGTGCTTTCTTTCCTGCAGCGAAGCGATCCTACTCAGAGGCAGGGGCATGACTGAGATGGCCTCCCACAGCATTCATTTAGCTATCAGTTGCCCCATTTTCATTTCAGAAGTGCTTCTAGACCCAAAATCTCTTTGCCTTTGGGGCGGCTTCATTTGTGCATTCAAAGAGTATTTGTGGAATACCATCCAAAAAAAAAAAAAAAAGATGAAGATAAACGACAAAGCTGTGTGTCCCTAAGACCTCAGAGAGCCAGCAGGAGAGTCCCGGGAAACCCAGGCCTTCTTTTCACTTCTCACAGGGAGATTCTGGGTATCCCATCTTCTGACTGGAAAGGGAACTGGAGCCTCTCCCTGGGGATAAGTGGAGCCCGCAATTCCTATTGAGCCATGGGCATCCCACACTCCTCATTCTCTGAAGAAACCTTTCCCATTGGTGTCTAGAGGGAGGAGAGGATGGGGTGTGTTTCTCTTCTCTGGATCACCTTCCCAGCCACAGATTCAGAAATGGCTCTCTGCCACACTGTCCTCCACTCTTGGCCATCCCCTGACCGGCTCGGTGCACGCTGGAGGCACACAAGGAGGAAGAAAGGATTGGTGAGATTCTCAAACTAGCAGGCAGGGGAGACACTCAAGTGCCAGATTTTTTTCAAATTGCATCGTCCCTCCAAATGTGCCCAAGGTGAAGGGGGGAGGGGTCGTCGGTCTCCTGCGCCACCTACTGGTCACCTGGAGGTATGGCCCCGCTTGTTTCTAAAAGCCATGGTAGTTTCCTGGAAATGTTCTTCTGTACCCCACCTTAATCCCTTCAGGAACATCAGTTCGCTTTCTCTTCGTGAAATGACTCAGGGATAGCCAGGGTATTTGTGACCTTTTTTATCTAAAAGCCAAACTTCCAAAAATAAAATCCTGTTTGTGACTCGGCCACAAGATAGCTGGCATTCCAACTCAGCACCTGCCTCCCAGCCCTTTAACCTTCCCCCTCTCTGGCCTGCCTCCAGATTCCCACTGTCTCTCGGGAGTCTGCAGGTGACCACAAGACCCTGTTTGGTATCTTTGGTACTCCACTCTCCCACTGCCTGAGTAATAGGTTTCTAGCCTTAGTGGGGTGTAGCGGCTCCAAAAGCTGGTAGGCAAATCCAATTTTTAAGCCTGCCCTTCACAAGCAAGAAGACTGCAAATTAGGGGGGTGTAAGCGCCCCCAGCAGCCCAGAGTTTGCAAAAGTCTCTTAAATTCCTTAAGGAAGGGGCTCTTACTCTACTTTCCTATCTGCACAGGGCCTCCAGACTAGCCTCCTCCTGCCTGAATCCTGTCCCCAGATCCTGTCTCCAAGTACCACAGTCAAGAAAACTGACTTCATCCCAAACTATCCTCTTTTAATCCCTACAGTACTGTATTCCACCATCAGCCTGGGATTAGATATCCCAACAGGTTCTGTATGATACCGTGGAGTTAGACTCTGAGAAGGGGGAGGGGCTGAGAGATCCCCACACTGAACTTGACCCCGGGGAGAGCGTCACCCCCCCCTGCGCACTGTCATATACCCCAGGCCCCTCTTACTTTCCAGTAGTTGATTCTCTTTCTCTCCTGTGCATGAACACCTGACCCAGTGACTAGATCAATGCAAACCTCTTGCATCTTCCTTCTAGAGGAACCATACATAGATGCTTTGCTCATTAAGCCTGACAAGCCCAAGAAAAACATAGGCTTAGGAGCCTGGTGTGCTCTTCTAACCACCTCCAGATGCCTCCCCTCATACCAGATCTCCCTTTGGGCTGCGATGTTGGAGACATCCAACAGTGCCTTCTCCAAAACTCGTCCTTCCTCACAAATGTCCCCTCATCCCAACTTCCTTGAATTCTTTCCCCTTCTCTTTCTTATCTGAGATACCTAGCTGACACCATTTCTGGGTATCTGAGAGATGGTTAGCTTTCCTTCACCCTGTCTTATTATTGTGGGCTATCCCAAAGCCCTTTTTCCTTTTTTGAGCATATGAATAGCAAAGATGATAGAGTCTGGGCCCCCAAATCTTCCTGGACCTACATCTGTCTTACTGTGGCTCGTCCTAGACACTGGGGAGCAATCTAAGGTCTCCCCACTCATAATCTATTGAGGTCGCAAGGTCAGGGAAATGAGCGGAGGGTGGCGGGCACCAGGGAGAAAAGAACTTACTGGACATGTGTGCTGAGATGGGCTAGGCAGGTGGCATTTACAGACTAACAAACACAGGAACAAAGTCCTGCTTCTTTTCCTAAAGGTCATAAGTCAGCTAAGTATAGACTCTGTCACCAAGTTGCTCCTATATATAACTGGTCTGGCCCCAGCCAGCTGTCAGCCCCTCTCAGAGTAAGCTGACTAATGCCCAGCCTCCTGGGGCCCAGAGCATGGTGCAGAGCCAGCTGGGAGCTAGTGCGGAGGGATGAGGCCTCTGGGTTCCATCAGCTTCGTACCTCTCCAGGGCCCACATCTCTGCCTCTTCTGTCTCAGCATAGTCTCCACCCTCTGCTGCTCCTGTCCCTAGATACCCGTGTCCAAACATCTCTCACCACTCAGCCCGGTTGTTGAGAAAGTACAAAGGCTTCCTAAGAGGGCACGCTTAGCTGTTCTTGTCCATGTCCGGACTGTGCCCGGTTTTCTTCCCTTGGCCCAGATCTCCGGGTCCTGACAGCTCAACCTCCGGTCTCCAGCCACTTCCTCGTCTCCTGGGCCGCGCCACTGGCCAGAAAACGTTTTCCATAACCTCCGCATGCTTTGGGCTTTGCCCTGTCTCCTTCCTTCTCTAGCCTGCCTCGGCTCGTGCACTGAGACTTGGTCAAGGATCCTCCGATGACGTCTCTCACCCTTTTCGCTTTCTTGGACCTCGCATCTCTCTGAGCCCCAGAGATTACTCTGATCCCAAACCTCCAAGTCCTGCTCTCTGGCCCCAGGAGCTGATTTTTTGACTCCATCTTCCTGCAGAGAGAGACTCTCGCGAGCATGAGGAACCTACCACATCCGAGATGGCTGAAGAGACCTACTCCCCCAAGGTCTTCCGGCCCAAGCACGCTCGCATTTCCGAGCTGAAGGCTGAGGCCGTGAAGAAAAACCAGAGGAAGAAGCTGACCCAGTCTAAGTTTGTGGGGGGCGCAGAGAACACTGCCCACCCCAGAGTCATCCCTGCGCCTGAGATGAGACACGAGTCTGAGCAAGTGAGTCTTAGGAATTCTCGCCTCCCTACCCCAGCCTTCGCCTCCTTACTTGAGAGCATCCATGTCCGTAGAGGATGCATAAGCTAGACTAATAAAAGGCTCCGATGTGGTCACAGTGGCTCAGCTGAGGATTTGGAAGGGTGATTTTGAGAATGTGAGTCTATTTATCTGGACTGAGGGCTGATCATAGTGAGTGGAAACAGAAATAGTTCTTCAAAGAAAGTGCCTGTATTAACAGTGAGCACATACGACCCCAAGAAGAGGTTGAACACTATCCCAGCACATCTGGAGAATGCAGCCTGTGTCTTCGTTACTTGGAAGGGTAGAAAAGTCGAGGGTGAGTGACCTGAAAGATTAACGGGACAGCAGGACTCAATGCCTGGCTACAAACAGGCTTACTGTGCAACCAAGGCACCAGACAGGTGAGGGAGAAGAACTTTAATAGCTTGTGACAGAGGTGACAGATTTTCTCCCAGAGTCCCTTTGGGTGCCACCCATGAACCAAAGTGGGGAGCGCATCTGAGTGGTGTCCACTTGGGTCACGAGAGTTTCTTGTCCCCCCCCCTTTCACAGGGCCCCTGCCGCAGACACATGGAAGCGTCTCTGCAGGAACTCAAAGCCAGCCCACGCATGGTGCCCCGCGCTGTGTACCTGCCCAATTGTGACCGCAAAGGATTCTACAAGAGAAAGCAGGTGCGTGCCCCTGGAGCCGGCTCACAGGCCCCATTGCTAGGGGTTCTGATTGGCAGGTCTGGAGTGGACTCAAGGACTTTACATTTCTAACAGCACCACCTTGACAGTACCTATAGGGGACTCCTAATCTAAACTACAAGCTAGATTCCTTTGAGGTACATCTTGACCCTGTCATTTCTAGCCTGTGACCCCAGTTATTTAAAGGCACTGGGCCTTTAGTTTCTCGTGCAAAATGGGAACTAGCAGTCCCCATTACCCCGATGGTGAGAACCCAAGGCACTGGGAACAACTCCTGCCATGTGCCATCTTAAGCTGTGTCTGGCTCACGATAGAGCCACAGAGCCATGTTTCCTGTTTTGATGGCTACAGTCCCCTCTTGATGCTCTCTGGGGAACGTGAGGTTGGGGGGGTCCCAAAGCGAGTGACAAAAAGGAGATTGCAGGACCTACTCCAGGGCGGATGCCTGAACTAACAATTTTCTCTGGGTTCTCCCGTGAGATGGAGATCCCCAAATCCCCAAGAGTTGGCTGAAGGTGTACCCCTTTCAGTTCTCAAGTTTAGGGGGAAAGTAAGACGAGAAGAAGGCCTCAGGGTACAGCTGTCTCATTGCTTGTTCCCTCCCCCGCCCAGTGCAAGCCTTCCCGTGGCCGCAAACGTGGCATCTGCTGGTGTGTGGACAAGTACGGGATGAAGCTGCCGGGCATGGAGTACGTCGATGGGGACTTTCAGTGCCACACCTTCGACAGCAGCAACGTTGAGTGATGCGTCCCCTCCCATCCTCCCCCTTTCCTACCCCCCCGGCCCCAACTCCAGCCAGCGCCTCCCTCCACCCTAGAACACCACTCATTTCATCTCATTTAGGGGAAATATATATACATATATATTTGAGGAAACGGAGGACCTCGGAATCTCTAGCAAGGGCTAAGGAGACACTCCCCACCCCAACCCCGAAAACGTATTTCTTTTTGATGCAAGTTGAATGGACAGAGAAGGGACGACGAGGAAGAGCAAGAGGGACCGAATCGAGAGATGGAGAGAAAGCATCGGTGTAGACACGGGGGGAGTGACAGATAGGGTTACAGAGAGACAGAGAGAAACAGCGAGACAGAAAGGACACCACAACCAGGGCTACATCTGTCCTTCACTTCCAGGCCTGGTCAGAGGTCGGAGAGGGGTTGGGGCACTCAGAAGTGTGGCATTCAGTGACACCCAGCTTAGACTGGTCAGGGGAAGGAAGGAAGCAACAGCATGTGTCGGTGCCTCTCTCAGGTCTGCCGATTCCTCCAGACCGCTGTGTGGATGGCAAGGCCCCTGTCCCCCGCCCTCCTCTAACCAGTGCAGGGTGGTCCCACCCCCAAATCTACAAACACTAAAAAGCATTCCATCCCTCTGAGGACAAAGGAAATTGAGTGATTGCCAATAGGCTTTTCCCCAAGTGGATGAGTGAACTCAACATCTGTACAGATTATACTCTTGATGGAGATTTTTTTTCTAGAAGTCAGTGCCTGCCCCAACACTGGAAAGACTTGACTTTCCAGGGTGACAGCAAGCTTGTGGCTTTAGCCCTTGATTTCACTAGACTCAAAGCTGGCCCAACAGCCTCTGTGGAGGAGGAGGACAGGCGGAGAGAGCAACGGGGTGTGTACTTATTACAAGGCTCCATGTAGACATATATAGGCGTATGAATCTATTTTCTTTATTTTCCCCCTCTTCTTTTCCTTCAAAGTGTTGCATTACCTCTTCAAAGTAGTTCCCTTTGGGCCCTGAAGAGCTTCCTCATTCTGGGAAAATTCGTATTCAACTAATACAACCCAGAACACTAAGTTTGCCTGCTTCTGGACAGCCTTCCCCATGAGCTACACATTTGGCTCTTTTGTAGGACACAGTGGCAGATCTTCTCATGATTCCCAACCTGTGTTTAAATGTGTCCACAAGTCAGGATGCAGCCATGTGTCACCTGTGCAGCGTGGGCCACCCCATGTCACCCTTCCAACCCTCAGGAAGTAACTGTCTTACACCATGATACGTAAGCCCACCAGGTGCATCTTTAACCCACTGGCCTGCCCAGGCCTTTCCTTATGTCTCTTCAGAATTGTATTTTGAAAGCATCCCACAGATGCCAGACTGACAGATCAGAGAGAAAGTGACATGAGAGATGGCAGAGGACGGGGTAGTGTGGCGGGGGGGGCGAGGCTTCCACGGAGAGAACTAGAAGATGGAGCAGGGACTAGGGGCTGGGGGCCAGGAGAGTGACAGAAAGATGGAAATACCAACAGAATTTCTCTTGGCTTCTCCCTTCTGGGATTTAAGAGGAGAGGGAAGGGGTGGTCTGGGTTAGAAACAAGCTCAGATCACAGAGCCCACAGGGTGGGGAGTTGAGGCAGGATCTAGACCTGAGAAGGGTGGCTGGAAACCAGGATCCATAGCCTGACTGAGTATGGAAGGGACAAGAAGATGCGCCTCAGACACCACAACTTCAGATCAACTTCAGCCCACAAGAAAGGACTGAGGCCAAAGAATATCCCAAGCGCACCATCCACTCTGCCCAGGCACGCATCCTCTCGGACGTGGAGGATGACATAAAGCCCACGACAACTCAAGCATAGGTCTTCACGGCTGTTGTCATTTGCCAGCCAGATTTCTATCCAAGAAAAAATGTTATTGTCCACTGACTTAGGACTGTCCTCGAAGACTGAAGACAGCCCAGGGAGGGCAACAAGGACGCTAGTACAGGAGGCCCCTTTTGTGCTGTGGGCACAGCTCTTTGCTCTTTCTTGATGGCATGGCACAGTAGAGGCCCCCTCCAATGCTGAACCTGGAACAACAAAAAGGGACAGCAAAGAAATAAACTTACGTCAACTCGTGGGAAATAGGTGGCTATGGAGCTTAGGGGATGTCTCCTATTGCCTGGACAAGACAGTTGGCTGGAAATGGAAGAGGTAGTTGGTCTTCACAAGACAAAGGGCCTGATGGGGATGGCAACTAAGGACTCGCCAGACCTGCGGGGTGAGTGCACCCATCTCCCTGCCAATGTCCCCAGCCCCCAACTCGTGCACTTCAGTAGGCCAGTATCCTAACCCTTCTCCATGGCGTTCTCCTTTCTGCCATTATTTCTCTGGATTTCGAGCAGTCATGTGACTGGGATTTGCCAAGTGGATACTGGGGTACCACTGCCCCTAAGAAAAGACTGAGCCAGGAACTGCCTACTCACTGACCCCTCCCAGGCCTGGACCTGACTCCTGGGGGGGGTGCTCTCTTCACCCCACTACTTGCTGGACCTTGAATGAGCCCCTGCCCCTCACCTGGGCCCTTTGTTGTGAGCCATGGATGGAGGACATTGTACAGACACTTTGGCCTTCCCCAGTTCAGCCTACACCCCCAAACTTGTGAGTCTCTCCAGTGCTTTTGGGGAGAGGCATGTCTAGGCAGCTACTCTCTCCCTAGAGGAAGCTTGCCTTTAACAGACAGATGGCACTAAACCTTCCGAATGGGAGGTCTGGCTGGACCCAAGATAGAGAGACCATGGAAATAGGGTCACTGAGAGATAGCTTCTCCATGTCACAGGGGTCCCACCATGCCCTGAGTAAGAGTCTCTTTGGCTCCGTTAGAGACCTCTACTTTGGGACTGTCCACAGCCATCGGCCTAAGTGTTGTGTGTCCCCATCAGCCCTCTTCCTTGGAAGGCTTCTTCCCGCCTCTTTGACAAATGCCTCACTCAAGCAGCAGAAAAAAATGAGCTCTCTTCCCCCACTACTGCCAGGTTAGCTGAAAGAGGCCTAGCCAGGACAATCTTGACCATTCAGAACAAAGCAGGGAACCTAGGGAAGAGAAGACTGTATGTTTCTCTGACGGCCAGGCCTAGACAGACAAGGCTTGGGAACATGCGCCCCACAGGAGGCTGAGAAGACCTTCTGTGGTCACTCCTCTTCCCCCTCCAAGACCCTCTTCCTACCACGATCTGTCTTCATAGTGACTTCCTCACTACCAACCTCCTTAGAAGAGCAGGTTGCCATGGCAACCTCCAAACCACCCCCCCCTCCGGCCCCTTCCAGGCAGTGCAGCAGTCCCTTAGCTCACTTAGGCTCCTGGAGGGCAACTTGAGAGGGCAGTGAGCCAAGGAGAGGAGATCCTCTAGCCTTCCGGCTTTCAAGAGAAAGGAGGCTACCATTTGAAAGATGGCAGGAAAAGGGAACTAGGTTTTCATCGACCAGGAGCCTGGGGGTTGGACTGTCTTTATTTTGAAACCACTAAAGAGCAAGGATTCTTGCCCCATTGTTACTCCACCTTCTTTTGGGTTCTTGCTTCTTCCTTTAAACATGTTTTCCTTGGTTTTCAAGTGGAGTATAGACTTTAGCCATTTCACAGACTCTGGCCTCCTCTGTTACATCTTTCTGAATGGGGAGAGAAAGGTGGAGGGTCAGAGGGGGAGGGGGTCCCTAGCCACCCTGCCTCCATTCACCCCAGTTCTCTGGTCCCTAGTCAACAGCCTCCTCCCCATCTCCAACACCATCACTGTCACACAGTAGCCTGTCACCGGATAGCACAGTTCAGACAAGACTCCTTCAGATTCCGAGACGTCTACCGGTTGTTTTTGGGTTTTTTGTTTTGTTTTGTTTTCAGTTGGTTTTTTTTTTTTTTACAGCAGCAATAACCACAGCACATATTACTGTAGGTCTTTGTAGCGTTCCATTCAGACACCATAGGTTGATTTCTCTTCTTCTTCTTCTTCTTTTTTTTTTTTTTTTGTTTTCAACTTTTAAAGAAAAATGCTTATACTTTGTACTGGTGAAATGGATGAAAAAATAAAAATAAAACAGCAAACCAGTTTGCAAAAAACAAAATGCGGGAAAAGAAGTCACCCCAGTGTGGGAGAGCTCGGCTCCTGTTTAGCATATTGTACTTAAGGAAATAAAAAGAAAGAAAAACCCAGAAGATCTCACATTTTATTGCAAAGTGAAGATTTCTGTATTCTATTTATTCAACCTATAATTTATGTTACTCCTTGATCTTTTCTCTTGTCGTGACAAAGCATTTATTTAATAAAGTTATGCGCTCAGTTAGTTTGCATTGCCTTCCTCCTGGGGCAGGGGGCTCTGTGAGCACCCAGGCTGCCAACAGGAGGGGAAGGAGGAAGGCTGGACCTGTGTGTCCTCCAGGAGGTCACTGAGTGGAGAAAGGACAGTCCTCGCAGACGGAGCCCATCTTAAGTTGCCATTTTCTTGAACTCTGTATCCGTACCCTAGGTTACCCTACAGAGCTGCTGAGAGTCTCCGGGAAGCCAAATTACATACATAGAGCACACAGAACGGTGAACACACATGTGTTCTGTGGTTACTGCTGTAATTTTATCTCCACCACTGTCAGCAAGTACAGTAGTCTAATCCACCCCTAGACAAGTCCCCAGATGCTAAGGAAGACATTCCAAGAATGTTCCTCAGTCACTTATTCCGGTCCTTTACAAGCTCTTAATGCATAGAAACCTCTGTCCCAGGGGGATCCCACTTTCAGCTCCTCCTGGGCACCCTACTTCTGTTTACCCCAGGGGAGAAGCAAAGCTGTGTTTAACCACGCCCTCTGCCTTCTGCTTAGGTGTTCCTGTGACTTTTCCTTTAGGGGATTTTCAGCCTATGTTCTCCATGGCCCACATTCATTCTCAAAGGTGTCAGGGCAGTACTCCACCCCTTAAGTGTGCTGTTGACCACATACTACAGGCCCCGCACAGCTGGGGACAGCTGAGGGCAGTGGTGAGCTGTCCCTTCTGTTCCAACTCAGGAGCGATGGCATTCACACACCCCACCCCCCAAGCTCCCCCCACCCCTGCAGTCACATGGTGAGACCTTGTTTCAAACTGTACACATAACCTTTGCAGGCCATCAGAAATCTCCCTGGGGCTTCTCGGCCCTCCATGTCACAGAGCCAGAGACGCAAACACTGTGTTTGAGGCAAAAATGAATTGCGAAGGTGCAGGCAGTGCTGCAGAGAGGGAAAGAGCCCATGAGGTGGTGTGAGCACAGGGCACTGCAGGTGACAGTGGGACAGGCTTCTCCATCAAAAACTACTCTCCCTACTGGTGCCTGTGCAGTGTCTGAAGGAGCCAGGATTTTCCACCCAGCTGTTCCTCCTTGAGGCTCGTCTCCCTGGGGCCTCATGACCCTAACCCACTCCACATTCCTCCTGTTCCCCAGGGCCTTGTCTGACCCTTATAACCCTCATCTCCTAACTCCCTGCTCACAGCCTGTAGCCATTCAACAATCTGCCTCTTGGCAATTCTGCACAATTCACCATCAGGAGGCATAATCCACATGGCCCATTTATGCACTTACAGTCTTGGCCAGAGCCTGGGATCCACTGTCTCCTATGCTCACCCACAGTGAACGGCAACAGGTCCAAGACCACATGGTCCTGCTACCCTGTTCATCTCCTTCTCCTGCCTTGATCCACTTAAGCCACACCCTGAGTCTTGGCACTTACTTGTCTCCCATGATGTTATCACATCCTCCCAGATATCCATGCCAGACCCCCAAGTATCAGTCCAAACTCCTCACTCAGCTCCCCATCCAAGGATCCCACCAATCAGCTGCTCCCTGCTGGACTCAGCCACCCTCACCATCTTCCCTAGTCCTACTCTGGGTCATGTTCAATTCTGCCTACCAGACCCAACTCCACCCACCCTCTTGGATGACCTTCTCAGCCACAGTTCACATTCTAAACACATATCAAATCTTGCCCATCCTTGGCCTTAATTATCTCCCAGCTTCCAGGCCAAAGTTCAAATCCCTCAGCAAGATACCCAAACCCTCCCGGTAGGTTCCCCCACAACCTCCTTCTGCAGCTGCCCCTCTGCCTGCATCCTGTGAATGCCACACAGCCATGTGCAGGCTTCCGCGTTAGAGTACAGCTTAGGGTTGAAGGCCTTTTATGTGTTGTTCCCTCTTTCTAAACCTCACCGCTTAGAAGACACACGCATGCACTTGCACACACACACACTGGAAAGCATGCACACACACATGCACACTCTCGAAAGCATGCACGCGCACACACACGCACGTACACACACATTGTTTTCTCTATACCCCTAACGCTCCAAGATGCCTCCCATGACAGCACAAATGACTGTTCCTCATTGCACCACACCAGCTTCTGGAGGGCACACCTCTGTCACATCGTGCCACGGGTGGTCAAGCCTTGCTCCTGGGCTGTTGCCAGCACTGGGGTGTAAACACTCCAGGGTAAAGGACACCGTCTCTTTCAGCCCCACCCAACGCTCGGGAGACAGCTACGTCTACATTTAACCAACACTTACTTTAAGACGGAAATGATTTTCTATTCTGCAAGCTGTTCTTTGAGACAGGCGTTATCCCAGGACTTAAAGATGAGGTTTTAAACGGTATATAGAAGTTATAAATATGCACAAAGTCACACAATTCATAATCAGAGCAAAACAAATTCTTCCCCATAGCAGTCTGTGTGCCTAACTAGCACACTGTAGGTAGTTACTACAGAATACACACTTAACAAGTGCAGAAGCTACACCAGGGTGTCTGCATGTCCAGAGGGTGTAGAGAAAGGCCAGCCTTGTGGATGTACACCTGTGACATCACCCAGAGCACCAAGCTTTGGAACTGCTTTCCTACGACTGTCTGAAAGTTTTAAGCAACGTTGGAACAAGGGGGCTCATGTAGTCATTTGTCCCAGGCCCTGCAATCTAAGTCATCAGTCTTCTAGTAGAAATCACACGCGAGGTATACATAAAGATTCTCAAGCCCTATCCACAGCTCCTAATTCAGGAAGTTTGTGGGAGGGCTCCAGAATCCATCAGATGAAGCCACTTCAGAACTCCTTTCAGAAAGTTTAAAGTCAAGTGAGCTTAGCTGCAGTTCCCTGTGATGCCACTTGGGGACAGTATTACCTCAGTGTTTACCAAGAGCCAGGCTTAAACTTCGAAGGGCCAGGCCTCTAGTGAGAGATCAGGGCACACGTTCAATAGCCACCCGAAGCCCCAGGGAGCTAGCAATGGGCAGAGCCGGTTGTGGCAGCATCAAGAGCCTTCCACAAAATGTTCTGGAAAGAACCTAAGCAAGGTGGCTTTCTGAGGACCTGTAAGCGAAGGGTGACCCTAGAAACATCCAGACACCCTCTCACCTGCTACAGTGCTTGACAGAAGTCTCACCAGGATATGGTCTTGTTCCTTGAAGTTTAGAGCCTCTTTGCTAGACCAAGGGTAAAAGCGTACTCGGAGAGCAGCAACCTTGATCCTAAGCAAAAGGTACCTCAGGAAAATGAAAACTAGTAACCATTCTTTTTATGCATGAACTCATGAGGATTGGCTTATTCCGGGGCAACAGGAAACCCTCTGTTCCACCCTAAAGTAGCATTCTCCTGGCAGGGGTGGGCTTTGGAATCTAGTTTCCTGGCACCTGTGGAAGGTCCCAGGAGTCCCTGATCTCCAGATGTGGCCATTAAGTCAGTTGGGAGGAAGACTAGGCAAAGCCGTTAGAGAGGCCCCTCCATGGCCAGAGGGGTCATTGCTGACTGGAGGTGGGACTCAGCCTTGCACTGGGGAGGAAGATGGCTTGCCTTCCCTATGACCCCACTGCCAAAGGGTTAAGGAGGGTCCCTGGACTTGACTGGAGTTTCAGGTGCAAACAGAACAAAGTGTGAGCACGTTGCTTAAAAAAATAGTTTCCCCCACCCTATACTCTGACTCAGTCTCCAGTCTCTCGGCCCAAGATTTCTTTGAGACAGGGTTTCTCTGTGTAACCCTGGGTGTCCTGGAACTCACTCTGTAGACTAGGCTGGCTTCGAACTCAAAGATCCGCCTAAGGCGAGTGCCATCCCCACCATCATCCCCACCACACCCAGCCTGGTTCCTGAGCCATGTGAATCTCTTTCTGCTTGACTTGCCGATCTGGACCCAGATTTTCAGGCCCCTCCAGGAGCAGCTTCTGAAAACTCAGGTGACCTTTCCGAACAAGCCCAGCAACAGCAGGGTCATCAGGGTTTCCTACCCCAGGGGCCCATGTGAAACACAGTCCTTGTCCTGAAGGGGTAAGACAATCCCAATCCCAGTGTTTCCCATGCCCCGTCTCCCATGGCAATGTCACCGGAATGATTTTCTTGGTTTGGTTTGTTTTGGGGGGGAGTGGATTGGTTTTGCTTTGTTTGGGTGTTTGTATGCTGTGTGCTCAGGCTAGGTCTGACTCTCAATCGTCCTGCCTAAGCCTCCCGAATGCTAGGTTTGCAGACCATGCGTCCAGTGTCCAGTGACTTCTGGGTGTTGAAAAGAGGAAGGCAGGCCTATGTTCTCCCTCACCACCCACCCTCCTCGAAAGATCAGCTAGAGAGGTCCAAGGGGTTGGAAACCTTCCCTGGTGGGAAACCGCACAATCCTGGGTCCCATCACAGATCTGGATCTGGGTACAAAAGCATTTTCCTGTCCCTGTGTATGGTGGGCAACAATGACTCCCCTGTGTTAGGGGCAAGTCGGACAGGAGGCTCAGTTGGCTTCCAGGCTCCTTCCCAGGATGCACCAAAGACACACGCAAGACACACACTATTTTTCCTTCCTTTAATCTTAAGTAAAAGAGACACAGGGGTTCAAAAATAAAAATTTCTTTCCCCATTCCCAAGCATATACCCGGCAACCCCAGCACCACCCTTCCCCTCCCTAATAGAAGTAGGAATGGAGATATGGGTTATCTGCGGCTGGGGAGGGGGTAGGGGCTTCTGAGCTCAGTGTCGGTCTCTTTCCAAATATAAATACATGTGTCAAAACCGGGAAATCCTCCACACCCATCACCCAAGCACGCTCCATGTCTGCTGGTGTTTGGGGCGGGGGGAGTCAGGCACAGACTGGCTGTACCTTACTGCACCCTCTGGGCATGAGCACCACCAGCCTCCTGCTGCTCATTGTAGAAGAGATGGCACTC